TACATACATACATACATACAGTGGAACCTTGGTTTACGAACTTAATTCGTTCCATGACTCTGGTCGCACCCCGAATTGGTCTCAACCTGAAAGAAATTTCCCCATAAGGTTCAATGTAATTACCGTTAATCCATTCTGGCATGGAGGACAGGGAGGCGGCTATTGCTTGGAGGGAGAGTCCCCCTCCCTACGACCACGTGTCAGGGGTGGAAAATGGCCGCGGACCACATGTCACAGGAGGGAAAATGGCCGCGTATCCTGTTCGTACCCCGAGGCAGAGTTCGCAAATCGAGGTAAATTTTTGCGGCCGGAGCTGGTCGTAACCTGAAAAATTCATTAACAGAGGCAATAAGGTTCAATGTAATTACCGTTAATCCGTTCTGGCGTGGAGGACAGGGAGGCGGCTATTGCTTGGAGGAAGAGTCCCCCTCCCTATGACCACGTGTCAGGGGTGGAAAATGGCCGCGGACCACATGTCACAGGAGGGAAAATGGCCGCGTATCCTGTTCGTACCCCGAGGCAGAGTTCGCAAATCGAGGTAAATTTTTGCGGCCGGAGCTGGTCGTAACCTGAAAAATTCATTAACAGAGGCATTCGTAACCCGAGGTACCACTGTATTAAATTGCATATATAGTGCTAGATAGTAATAGTTTTAAATAGGCATGAGGAAGTTGTTAAACGTGGGGTGAGGATACATTTTTGTAATAAATGAATATTCAGGCCTGAGATTGAAACTGGTCTGGCCTGATAGATTCAGTTCAGACATCTGGGCTTGTCCAACAGTAGCATCCTTAGGCCATTGACTAGAATTAACCACACAGCACATCAAGTGTCCTGCAAATGGTATGTTGTGTGAATAAGATAAATTCAAAAGGGTAGAAAGTTGGGGCTGGCCATATATTAAGTTGAGATGCTGCAGTTTCCAAGGTACAAATGTACTTTGGAGCTAAATATACATACTTCTGAAAGCATAATTCCTATCATGTGGAGGACATTACTGTAGACCTCAGTGTTTGAATAATGCCTTAATTGGATTTTATAAACGCTTACGCTTAACAGATTACGGCTGTATTCTTTAATACCATGAATAGAATAAAACTAAGATGGGAGGTGGCTCATTAAAAAATATTTTAGATGTTTAAAAGCTATCAAATTAGAATTCATAATTTTTATTGATTCCAGATGCAGATAAACAAGGAATAGGAAATCTAATTGGGATGATGAAGATGAAACCAGTAAAAAAATAGCTGGAAAAAATTCACAGAGGAATTTCAGCAGTTTTGGCTAAAATGGTGGCAAAATTATCCAGCAATTTCAAGAATTCACCATCCTTGGGCTCCTATCCTGAGGCTGTCATTTCCCACCCCCACACACTTTTTTCAAGGGCTTTATGAAGGCCATCACACTGCTGTATCACTCCAGGGGTTTGCGGAGGCATGTAAAGTTTAAGAAGGCAGCACATAAATAAGGCTGAACTGAAATGAGCTTCAATTTCACTCCTCCATTTATGGGTGGCAAAATAGGGAGATCTCCCCCAACTGACCCATTGTAACAGTATGAGCAACCATTAATTTTGACTTCTTAGCCATATATGTTTGCCATTTATATCAAAAAATAACTCCAGTGCCAAATATTATTCAATGACTGGAAGACTTCCAAATCCTTCAGTAATTTAATTTAATGCATTTTTTTAAAAAATGCAATCCATGTGTAGCACAGTAATTCACAATGAATTGCAGCAGCTGTCCTGCACTTACTGGTCAGTCTTAAATAGATGGTTCAGTACCCAGTAGAGTGAACTCAAGGGCTCCTTCATTGGCAGTTTTTTGCATATAATAGGTTGTTCATGAGCAACAATCAGTCTAGAAACAACAAAGGAGAAACAAATAATTGAATCCTCAATAGTAAACATAGGATTTGTTTGCAAAAAGTTGCAGTTATCAAGCTCATAATTTGATGAAACAGTTCTAGAAAATATTGTAAAAGAAACTCCTCATAAACGACCCCTTTTCTCTGATGGACTTTAGGTTGGTATCTCTTCAGTTGGTTGATCTTCATTTTCTGTTCAAATAGTGCTGATCCTCTAAGGTCTCTACCAAGGAACAAAAATGGAATTGACACAGACTCAGATGTGTACAAAATGCTACAAGATCATGAAAGGCCTGTTTCAGAACCTAAGCAGTCAGGTTCCTTCCGGTATCTGCAGGGCATGTTGGAAGCCGGAGAGAATGGTAAGGAGTGCCACACTCCTCTTTTATGCACACTTCAACGTACATGCCAGTCTTAGAAACCATACATACAATAATTCTTGATTATTCTTGTTGGTTGCACAGATGTTTAGACTGGATTTGACATTTTTATCTACCTATCGAGTCCTTCACAAGGAGCTGGGATAGGCAGATGTTGTTTGATGGGATGATGATGATGATGATGATGATGATGATGATGATTGGAAAAGAAAAAAAATAAGGAAAATCACCCAGAATATGTGATTTAAAAAAGAGAAGGGACATTGACATCAGTATTAGTGAGCAAATGCTGAAAGCATGCATATGCTGTTTGCAGAGCAGTCAGAACCTGAACACTGGTATCTGAGTATGAATGTATTCATGAGCATTACATGCTGCATGTATATAATCTTGTATGTATGTATGTAAAGATTTCATGACTTCCATTCTTTTTTTTTTTTTTCTGGTTAGTTCAGATTACATAGGCCTTTTCATAACACAACCCTTGAAAAGAGCCAGCTTCTAACATGCCATCTTGCTTTTAGTACAGACTCTTAAAGGTCTCCCTGAGTCCTGACATACAATAAAACAAATAAATCCGGCAAGCTGTAAAAGTGCACTTTAGCCGTGTTATTGCTGGACTTCGTTTCCTTTACATGGCAAGAGGTCATATCTCCCCCCCCCCCATACATAAAAACATTTTCTATATTGGGCAACATCATTTGTTCTTCTGTGTTTCCTCTGTACAACTCTTTTTGTACCAGCTTTCCTTTGTTACTTTTTTAATATCTCTCACTCCGTTTTTCCAAAAGGTTAATGTCTGGTTTTATCTAGTAAAACAGAACTTCATATGATATTCACATGGTATATGGCTTTCTCATTCTTATAGTCATGCTACCATTTTAAAATAAATATGGTTAATGCTGGTCACCTGTTCCCTAATCTTTATATCATCTGACATATAGCCCCATATTAGCTCAGAAATAAATCCCATTGATTTTGAAAGGATTTTCTTCTTTCTGTGGGTGCAGCCTTAGCATCTTCTTATCACTCCAGTGATAAAGAAAGGGAGGAGTGCATATAACAGACTTACCCCGTGATAACCTTACCTTTTGAATTCAAGAAGAATTCAAGAAGAATTATTTAAACAAAGAAGTTTGCATAGCTGGGACATTCCACATGCCTTTAATCAATAATGCTGAAATCTTATCTTAAATTCTTGGCAGGTGAAAAGTACGACAAAGTGACCAGTCCAAGACATATCAAATCTCCAGTCCCTAAACTGGGTGGGGCCATGTCTACCTTGCAGGTGCTCCCCGAGTGCACCAGATGTGGTAATGGAATTGTGTAAGTACATGAATCTCCCCAGGAACCTTAACAGTTTATATCCTCTTTGGGAAAGCTAACGAATAAATGTGCCATCTGTTTCATTTTAAACTCTCATTGTAGCGTATGCCATAAAACTGCGTTATGTGCTGGGTGGAATTGTAAGAGCAGGATGGCATCTGGACTGCTTCTTTCACAGGAAGGTTAATTAAATATGTATTGCAGCTTTAACATTTAGTTATGTTAGTCTCTTGATCCAAAGTACCTTCGTTGTTCCAAAATGAGTACACAGCCCCATACAAAAGAGGATTCCCCGATTTCATTGGAATCCAGTTGGCTCAGGGCATTGGGAATTAGGAGCAGCTGCTCATGTTCGGCTTCTGTAGGCAGCCGAGGCAAAGCCTTTTAGTCTTTGTCATATGGGCCAGAGATGTGCCTAGGCGAAATACAACTGCTTGGGCTTATGTAACCACTCAAGTGACCTGCAATAAATATTAATGGTTTTAAGTATTTAACTTTCTTATCTTCTCTGCCCTCCTTCATTCTAACAGCGGCACAATAGTGAAAGCCCGCGACAAGCTCTACCATCCAGAATGTTTCATGTGTGACGACTGTGGCCTCAACCTGAAACAAAGAGGCTACTTCTTCATCGAGGAACAACTCTACTGTGAGACGCATGCCAAGGAAAGGGTTAAACCACCAGAAGGATACGACGTGGTAGCTGTTTATCCCAATGCCAAAGTTGAACTTGTCTAAATAAATACTCGTATTTCCCAGCGAGGTCAAAAGGTGGCACAGCCGTCCACAAGCACAGCCTCTGTTTTAAAGTTATGGCTATAATCAACTCCAATTACTCAACTCTCAGTAAAATACCTTTCAGAGATAAAATGAGTTATCCTTGGAACCTTAGGTGGATAGTACTGGTTGCAGAAAGCCTTTGAAAAGAATCGCTCCCCCCATTTCTTTATGACACTTTGCTTTTTGGTTGTTGTGCTGTTGGGTTTTTTTTTTAATTGCAAATATTTGTTGTAGACCATCCAAAATCTATGTAAAAATAGATGCTTTCTAAAAAGAACTTTTACATATACAACCAGTATTTTTTTAATTTTGTCCCATTTAAAAATAAGGCACTTTAAGAACTGACAGTTTAAAGCATTGCATTAAATTTTACTTTTGTCAGTAATATAGATATGCCATAAATACTGCTTTGTGGCTTTCAGGGTATAGAACACTGAGACCATGTTTATTATTATTTTTAATATAGTTAAACAGAGAAGTTCTCTTATAAATCCTTTTTCAAGTGCTGTTGTTATAGTTGCTGCCTATTGCTTATTTTAGTTCTGCTTAGTACCTAGGAAACAAATGCCCTTTTCTACTTGCAAAAAAGGCAAAATCTTCTTTGAGTTGATCTTCACTCCTGGTGACTTCATACTTGGGTTACCATATCTAAGCAGCAAAAATTTGGACAACCATTAGATGGCAGCAACACGCTAGAGGGTTCTGTATCTTTTTCGTGCCATGTATTGGTTGACTGTTTTGCAGCCCAGATTTTATAGCCCTATTCATGGACATGGACATGTAGTTTTCTTAGCAATAATGCAAAAGTGGTTTCACACCTTTTCTGGAACAATCAAAATTTTAAAAAAACCCTTTTTGCCACACTCGTGACACATGGCAGCATTAACAGCTGGAGCTTTCTGCTGGGACTCATTGCCTAACTGCCCTTTCAACTGTCTGAGAGAAAATATTATTGGAAGCCTATAGATGACCCTCAGTTGGTTGAGAGCAGTGATCTGGTTAAAGATGATTAGTGTGTTCTCAGGATCTTCTAGATCATGTGATGTCGACACTTGTATTAAGATCAAGAACTCTCAGATGTAAATTCTTCTGTGTAAACATAACTGTGAGAATGCACGTACAAAAATCAGATATGACAGAATCTTTACATATGATACCATCAGTCAATCAAAACTTTATTATGGTCAGACCAGCGTAAACATATGATACCAATTTTCTTTCTTTTCTATGAGATACCATGATCTCTCTTGCTGTTATTCCCTTGTATCAAATCACATGGACAATTATTTCTACTACTTCCTCCTTTGCATTTAAGCCACAAGATTTTATATTGAAGCCTGAAATATAGAATTCTTCTCAGATACAGTTAAATTGAATTTGAATATTCATCTCTAGATGCAAATAATTTCAGTCAACATAAAATAAAAAAATCCAGATAACAATAGGGCAATGATCACAAAGTTATTTTTGACCTTGAGTTTTCAGAGCTGAATTTACCTGGGTCACATTGAAGTCCCCTCATGTTTGAATGAATAACTTGAATGAAAAAGTCCATACAATTATAAGAAAATTAAGCCTCATTTCAGACAAATAGACATAGAGGATGGATAGGATGGATGGATGGATGGATGGATGGATGGATGGATGGATAGTAGATAGATAGATAGATAGATAGATAGATAGATAGATAGATAGATAGATAGACAGACAGACAGACAGACAGACAGACAGACAAAACATTTATTTCTTGATAACATAGGGTGAAACTTGTCCAGTGTGAAAGGTACATTATGCTTTAACAAGTAAAATGTGGCAACAATGATGAAGAAAAATATGTGCTTTTAGTTAAAATATCGTTCTCTATACCATATCTTCTGTATTTTTAGGGTTCTCATTTAAAGAAGCTTGACTGAGTTTAATGAGATTTTTTTCCATCTGCAGTTGTTATAAATGCATATATTAAAAATCATTTACTCAGCAATCCAGAGTGAGTCCCAGACCCTGCAAGCCATGCAAGCCATAGAACGCTTAGAAGAAGCTTTCCCTCCATCTTTTTTCCCTTTGCCCTCCAGCAGCATCCTTCTGTTGTAAAGGGCCTGTGATGTCCTCATGGATGCGAAGCTGCTGATCCCCTGTCCTTGAAGTGCCTACAAAATTCCATTTGGTAGCATTCTGCCCGCCACTGCTTGCAGGGGAAACATTGATGATGTCCCAGAAGCATCACCTCTGCTACAACCTATTCTTAGCCATCAGCAATAAGTAAGGTATCTTAGCATTGCATTGCTGTTTTTTTTTTTTAATTTGCTGCCCAATTAAACAGGAATACCTTTTTTGGTTTATAAATATGGAACTAGTCAATTAGTTACTAAAGCATTGCAACACTTAGTATTTTCACATTAACTCTATTATGTAAAGTTTCCCATCAGGTGGGAAATGTATCAACAGGCCTATTTGAAACTTTTTTTAGTAGCTTCCAATTCTAAGGTAAGGGTTGCAGTTCTATCACCATTTATCACCAATTTTTATGGTTTTCTGGCCTAGTGTTTGTGTTTGTCTCTTAGTGGAATCATACCAGTAAATCAGGAAAGATTTATGTATTATTATAGTTACCAATAATCAAGCAATATTGTCGCTGTTTCATTTATTGGTTGCCAACAGAGAACTATTTCTTTTGCAATAGTCGTGAGCATTTACTCCAATTCAGCTTATTACTTTTGTTGATCCTTAAGGCCCCAGGCATGATTATACGGTTTTGTGGGTTACTCTTTGAAGTGCTCCGTGGAATGCATATAGTATGAACCTGCAATTTTACAAATTGCTGGGTACCTTTCAATTCAAAATTGGTACATAATGCTCTGGCCCTTGAAACTTAATGGATAATTCACAACATCTGGCTTTACCAAAGCGTCTTCCCAGTTTGTCTCACATCTTCTGTCCTTTCATTATCAAGTGAGTTTGATAAACAAGCAACCTTTCCTGACTCGTAATTAGGATTTTGCCTGGAGGGTGCATTCCAGTGAGGTGGCAGACTGCCTACCCATGGTCTTTGGAAAGTGCCTTAAACAGCCACCCTTATTTCTAGGCTTAGAAATAAGGGTGTTTTTACCAGAGTTGCTGGGTGAGCAATTTACCTATATGCCTTGCGATTTTTGAAATCAAAAAAGTAAAGCCAGCCATTATTTTTAATCAGATACAAGATCTGATCAAAAGCAAGCTTGTTTTTCATTAAAACTTTCTACTTGGAAAAATTATTTGAAGAATTTGCAGCATGAATTCTTTAATACAGTTTGAGATACAAGTATATGTTTCATTGTAATAGTTTAGAATATGCAGACCTTGATTCTAGTTTTCTTAAAACATTTATCAGTTTAAAAATTGCTAAAGTCAATCATATATCATTTTCATTATGCTTATTTCATTTCTCAAATAGTTGCTGCAACAAAGCTGAAATCTAAAAGGTGGACCTCTCTCTATATGCATGTGTTATAATAATCATATAGCTGCTTGACAATGAAGAGAAAGCCTCATAGGAAAGAAGCTTACTTGCAAACAAATGAGCCCAGATATTTCTGGACTGGAAAGAGCATCACAAACCTCATGTAGTCAACTTTTTCTGTTATGTGGTGAGACTTAGGTTTCTGATATACTAGGCTATAGATCAGTTGGCGGTGCTTTTTGTCCCCCATGCGGCTTCATTTCAAAGCCTGTTTTTCACCCTGCAGGTGTCTGCTGTCTACTTCAGATATGTTATAATAATATTGAAACAGGTGGCCCATCTTGAAAATTCATAAATAGTTTCATTAGTCTTGAGCCGTGGGCATTATAAACTGCATAAACTGATTGTGTAGCTATTATTCAGTTATCTGTTTTAGGGTTTACTATATGCAAATAGCTTTACTGGCCAAGGAATGAAACTTTCCTTATCTTTTATCTGCACAGAAGTTGTTAGCGATCAAAATTACTACAAATTGTCTCTTGCTAGTTTCTGTTTATGAATTGACAACTCCTGGGGTATTGAAAATGGAGCCACCTTGCACAAGAATATTTTGTTACAAATTCTTTCCTTCTAGCTGTGCCCCTTATCCTATACAAAATTTGTCTTGCAGCATATTATTAAAACCAGAATGTGGTTTATTGCCAGTTCAGTCAAAGGATAAGATTGTTTCTATTTCTGTTGAGTGACTGTTCAACAATACGGCAAAGCGTTTTAGAAAAACAGTGTGTATGGAGTTTAAATGTATTATGAGTCCACCTCATTATCAAATGAATTATGACTTAGCAGCTATTTCATCACCACTACTGTAGCCTTAAGAGTTTTTCATTATATCATAGTCCGTCATATTCATAAACTATACGGCTGATAATATATTTCTCTTATATTCCCAGCCGTCAGGATGCTGTGACAACTGTTTACTAGATTTCTGTGCTCCTGATCATACATTGATTTCAGCACTGGTATTTCTTCTTCAACCAAAACAAAAAAACAAAACAAAACAAGCAAAAAACCAGGGCAAATCAACAGATTGTAGCATTAAGGGGGAAATCTATTGAGGTATTTTGATCATGGATCATCCACTGAAGCCAGGGATGACAAGTTCCCTTCCTTTCAGTCTTCCCCTGCCTATCAAATACTGATCTGAGAGAATCTCCCAACTCTCTGGAGTAGATTTTGAGGAGAAATTGGGAGTAGGGCTATAAAATAAAGGTAAAGAAAAAAAGGCCCTATTATGTGAACAAAAATCTGCTTGGATGACTTTGAACTTCACCCTTAGCATATGATGTACCACTACTAACAATAGATAAGGTGAAGATAATTTTTTTCTTTTATAATACTGGACTGGACATAATCAGAGGTTCTCTGCAGAGATGTCTTTTGAAGCAATGAATGAGCCAATGAATTAGTTAAGGCATCTGCCTTTGGATACCTTATCTGACACAAGTATAAAAAGACAAAGAAGCAAACAATCATAAAGACATAATATTTTCTTTTAGTACAGAACAAACTTTTCTTGAAGGCTGAAGCAGAACTGATGCCCATGAGAAGATATCTATGAATGGAACAAACACCAATGGCAAAACATTGTGCAGTGATCTAAGGCAGCCTTCCACGCTGGCCCCGCTGATTAGGAAGTATCAGAGTTTAAGTCCAATATATCTGGGGGACCCTAAATCCAGTATTCTTTGGAGGCAAAGCTGAAAACAGCAGAATGAGGAATATAAAATCAGTTTGACAGAGGTGATAGATGGTGACCAAAAGGTGTCTCTTGGTCACCCTCTATTCAAGCAGCTCACTCATGACTTGGCTAAATGAGGTTGCCAGGCCATGGTACCAATTCTCTCTGGAATTGTGTTTGGTCCCCATCTCTATTTTAGAAAGGATGTCAAAGCACACCCTTTTAACTTAGCTTTTTATGTCTTTAAAGTCACCATCTTACACACTTTTCTGGAATTAAGTCCTGTGGAATGCCAGAAGAGAAGATTCATTAAAAAAAAAAAAATCCACTATTGCTGGCTTATTGTTTGCATTGTTCTTTTTGTACTATCCAGTAGGAGGCCATGGCACTTACCTACTCATATTTTACACAATATTTGCAATAGCAATAAACACACAAACATGAGGAAACAGTAATAGTTTCCTAATGTCAAACTAATGCTGTTAAAGATGACAGCTGAAAGAATTTTGAATATTGTGAAATAATGTGAATAATATCTGTTGATTTATTGCATATTAACCAATGGTCTGGAAAATCTCTTAGACGGGTTGTGGTCTTTCAGAAGTGCACTGGCTCCTGGAGAACTATAGCCTCTTTCGTGTATTTTTCTCAGGCTATGCCTCGTTCACTACTTATGCACTATTCACAAAATATATATCCTTGTGTATGTGTGTGTTCATGTTAGAGGTGAATAGCAATTGCCCAGTGCAAGTGATTGCACAGTAATATATCCCCCTCCAAGAAGATGGCTCCTCTTCATCTAAAGCCTCTTCTCCTTGGATGTATCAGGGCATGTTCAAGCATAAAGTAGGCAGGCTAATTAGGCCTGGCCTGCTTTGGGTCCATTTTGCAGAAACTTCCATGCTAGCAAATCTCTGTCTTAGACAGATCTGAATGTTTTAAATTCAAATGGTACAGACTATACTCAGTCACCAGAAGAATTGCAGGGTTCATACAACCCTGCAGCCAAATTCACTGTGTGTGTGCATATTGCAGATGCCAATCATGGCATGGCATAGTGCCCGAGCCTTATGGAATCCTATGGATTAAAGTTTAGTGCTGCAGAAGGTTTAATTCGAGACCAGCATGTACTGGATGTAACAAAGACAGAAATGTACAGGAGTTATTTTGCTCTGCTTCAGTTGGCGTACTGAACAAGTCTGATGCTGATTAGGTCAGCCTTGGCCATGGTCCTACATATGTTAGTTACTCATCAATTGAATTACAGAAAACCACTTGCTGATTTGATTACTGCAAAATGAAGCTGCTAGAATTTTGACTGGAAGAAAATACTGGGATTGTGCAAAACCTTTATTGCATCAGCTACAGTACACTGGCTACCAGTGCATTTCCACGTGCAAGTCAAGGTGCTGGTAAGAGCTTGTGACCTGATGCCTGAAGCATCATCTCCCATCCCCCCTTTGATCTTGCCTGCCTTTTATGACAGGCAAGTGTACTTAATCTGTATGTGCCTTTGCCTTCAGAGATACCATTAGCAACTGTCACATCTGCCATGTGGAAATTCCTATCGCAAGAAATTAGGTATAAAAATTATTCCTTTTTATCTGTCTTTCTCCCAGCAAGTGAAGACGATTATTTTTAAACCAGCATTTCACTCTGCTATTGTACAATTTCACTGATCAATACCTAGTCTGTGTATGTCTCCTTTTGCTGCCACCTGTAATTTGTTATTGTGTATTGTTTCTGTGCTTCTGAAAATAAAATAATGCTCTTTGGATGATATACCTGGCACACTATGTTTGATCCTGACTGGATGCATCAGGTTGGCTGCTGCATAACATAGAATGCTGATTGATTGATTGATTGATTGATTGGTTGGTTGGTTGGTTGGTTATTTACCTGTTAAGTTTCTATTTCCTACCTTTCTTCCAGGAGCTTCAGGAGGCACATACGCACGCACGCACCCACCCATCCACACATATCCAGCTTTCCCCTACTTCACTACAATTGTCTGGAGTAGGTTGGGCTGAAGGAGTGACTGCCAAAGGTCACCTAGTGACCTTCCATGGCTGGGAGTGGACACAAGCCAGGCCTTAACCCAACACCATAATCCTTAGACCACACTGGTCAAGAAAAGCCTGTGTCCTAAGCCATCAGAGCTCCCGTATAGTCTTGTATGTTGTTATTAGGGAGAATGTGGAGTTGATGAACAAGGGCAATCAGCTTGTTAAATAAATCAGTTAAATCATCGCATGAATGCTATTTTTTATTACTACTACTACTACAGTTCTGAGGAGGTGGAAAAAGCACAATGTATGCATATATCACAGCAGACAAGAATTTTCTGCATGTGAGCAGTAAGGATGCCTGTTCTGGAATTGCTTCTGCCCCCCGGCCCCCCAGCCTTAAAAGAACAATTGTAAAACAGGACACCACTTTGAACGAGACACAATATTTGCAACCGGCAGAATGAGTTACATGTTGAAAATGTGAAGACATGAAAGAGAGATGTAATAGACCCTTTGGTTCAACATTCCACTCCCCTGGTGGCCCATAAGGAGATGCCTCTGGAAAGACGATTAGAATAGCGATACTCACATATTTCCCACAGCTGGTAAGAGGCCATACCGGCAGTCGTGAACAATATCCACTGATAGCCTTATACATCACACTGCAATAGCAAATTCCATTAGACTAGGCACCGATTGCAATTTTGTCCTTAAATATGAATATGTAGGGGAAATACAGAATGGGGTTACCAGCAATATCTATCATTTTGACTACATTTTAATTTGTTTTTTTTTCTCCTACCAATCTATACAGAATGATTGAGGCAAAGAATGTTGTAGTACACACATCTACTGCAATGTAAGCTTTGGGGGATCAGAGCTTGCATCATATAATGTTTGATGAAGTGATGACCTCAGTAGATAAATGGAATCAACATCATCATCAGTAAAGAGAGAAGGAAGCTTAAAGGATAAGTGTTCTTCTTAAGAAAGTGATGCCACAAAGCCAGAACAAATGTGATTCCAGTCTAAGTGCAAAATGCAAAGTGAATATTGATATTAAGAAAAGACAATTGCTTGCTAATGTGAATTTGCTATTCCCAATTCCTGTTGAGTGACAGACTGCTAGAATGGACATAGAAAAATGTCTTTTGAAGACCTATTTTTGAATGATAGCCATAGTTCTCCCTGCCATGTAGCACCACTGTTAGGCAGTGAAGCAACCCCATCAGGCAGCAAATGCTGTGGGCAGGAGTAGCAGCTCCCTTACAATCGCTCCTAGCCACCTATGCGATTAAGGACACACTATTCTACCTTCACTATTTAGTTATAATTGCTAGTAACTGACTTCATTAGACAGAACAGGCAGCTAGCCCTCTCTTGTTCTTCATCTCAGGCTTTTACATTCCCCTTGCTGGTTGGTGTATTATCTTTTACGTAAGCTTAGTTAGTTGAAAGAGTTTGGATTGGCCTATCTAAACATCAAAAGCACCCCTGGCACACAAAGGTTCCCATCACATTAGACCATGGCTGGCTGGAGAATTCTGGGAGTTAAAGTCCACATGTCTTAAAGTTGCCAAGGTTGAGAAACACTGCATTAGACTGAAACAATAAAGTGTCCCTTGAGTCAGGCTTGACCTGGAAATGTCCATGTTATTGTCTTGGCAAGGTATGGAAATTTGCTGTTGCCACCTTCCAGGACAGCAGCCAAACATGTATGCTAGTCTTTGTCAATCTAGAGTTTCCAGATGTGCTGAGATTACAGTTCCCCATCGCTATGGTTGTTGACCATGTTGGGTGGGAATTTTAGTCTCCCCACACACGTACACAAAACCTTAGGTTGGGAAAGGCTGAAATACAGCATGGGGAAGAAATATGTAGGGGGAAGAAATCTAGAATGGTTTGGAAAGGCTTATGCATAAGTGTATTACATAATCTGTAGTCTTTTTTTATCTGCATGAGGCTAATATTGTGACCAGCAGCATCCATGACGGGGGTTGGGGGTGGGAGGGTCAGACTGATGAGAGAATGGCATTGGACACAAGATTTATTTTCTACATGCACACCCAAAAGAGGCAGAGCTTGCAACATGATGCTGTTTTTGTCATTCTGATGAAAGCAGTCAGAACCTGCAGATGCTGCTCCTTGTAATTTCTCTGGAATAGGATTTTTTTTTACTCAGGCAAACTTAGACTGTGTTTATACTAAGAGTTACTCCTTTGATAAAGCCCCTCTTACCTGAAAAGTAGTCGTAAAGTACAAGTATGATACTCAGCAATTTGGAGCTTGTTTACTTTATTTAAGTTTTAGACCATGAAGAACCTAAAAGTCTATTTGAACTTTCTTGTGTGCTGTATATTACAGAGGCTACAGGGAATGTCCAGGATAATGTGATTGTGCATCCTAGTCAACATTGGTTTTAAAATTACATACCAGCTGTAAAATGCTTGTATTGCTTGCATAATAAGAGAGTGGAATAAATTCAAGGAGCTCAGATTGGACCAGAGATCCAGGCCTGGCTATTTACTCAGGACTTCTTACAAGCTCTGATAAAGGCTAATGGTTTGTACCCACAGCAAAACCAGCTTGTGAGCCTGATCTTGTTCAAACCCTTCTGAAGCAATGAGTGGCATTTTGGTGCATCATTGCTACTCCTGGGCTAGCTTTAGCAACAGTTGTGTTTCCACTCTGATGTCTTCCAGCGTGCTCTGTTTCCCCCCAGGACCCTGAGCCAAGTTGCATCATCTCTGCTTTTGTGCCATTTCTGAACCTCTTCCCTGCCCACACAAACGAGGTAAATGATTGCAGCAGTTCTTCAATGACTAGACCTGTTCCATAGAAGATGGGCTGGATTTCTTAGAGGCCCTTCCAGAGCCTCATCTCTGACTACACTGTGTGGTTTCAGCCTCTCTGTCTGCCAGTTTCCTTCTGCTGATAAATTGTTTCCAACTGTGAGAAATGTGGGACCATGTCCTTGGCCAACCAAGACTGGAGGCCAAAAAAGGAGTGGTTGAAAGTCAGACTATATCCAGCTTCTCCTGGGAATTGCTGCACAGGGAATACTAACCTAATGAGTAAAAATTACCACTTTGGCCTTCAAGCCAGATTGCTGTCATAAAGAATTTGTGATTTCTGGATCAATTCTTATTCCTCTACATTCATTTCAGACTCTCCTCTATTTCTGAGGGAGGAGGTGGAAAGAAAGGTTGCTATGAATATATTGTCAGCATTACAATAATGATTGAGTGCATACAGAAGGCTAGGCCAAGTTTTTTTTCAAACCATGTGCCTGCTGAACAAGGTATAATAGCCTGATGGAGTTGTGGACCCACCCAATATGATTTAGCATTCTCTATGAACCATGCTAGTAACTCCACTTCTTTTTTTCTTCTCATGGATGCCTCATACTATAATTATGGAATGACTGTATATTGAAAAAGTACCCAATAAATTCCTGAAGCTTTTTTTTTTCATTTTGGATGCTAAGTATGAACAGTAGGCCATTATTATATCTATTTTCTGCTGCCACCAAGTTCCAGGAATGTCCACTTGACCTCTATTGGAAATAGGGAGTGAGCAAGATAAAGCCTCAACTCAATGCTACCAACTCAAACCAACTCAATGCTACCGATATCTTATGAGCAGAGCACACTGGTCATGTTCAAATTTTAATGTCCTCCAACTCTTGAATCATATAATGAAAATCTATGACTTAAGATGTAAAAGATAAATTTGTTTTAAAAATACCAGGATCAAATCTGGAGGGTTTCACTCATCAGTGCTATATTTCTCCATGCACTAGAATAAATTGGTTACAGTAATTAATGTTATATCACTAGACAGGGCACAAGATATAGCATTTCAAATGCAATACTCTCCAAATCAATTCTGCTTATGCTCAGAAAAATACTTTACATTATTATGTGACTAGTTACTGTATGTTAAAATATGCATAGAAATGCACATTCTGTTGACAGCAGTGCAGACGGTTGGCACCTAAGCGAGCATTTGAATGCATATCAAATGCCTCTATGGAATTCTTGTTCTGTAGATAAAATGTGGGCAAAACTCTGCTTCTTTGTTGGATCCAGGCATTTGTTTTTACTGGAATTACAAAAGCATCATTTGTGCATGCTTTAACAGTATGTGTTTCCATTTTTTGTGGCAATAAAACAAAAAAAGGCCAGATGTGATTAGCTAGCTTCTGTTTCCTGCCCATGTTGTCATGATGGAAATAACCACTCCGAAAACCATAAACACAATCTGTAAAGAATGGAGACCAGAACATTGTACTAGGAAGCTATTAACAAGATAGGTGGTCCAAAGAATATAAACAAGTTCAAATCATGGTAGGTCATGTATAGGAAAAACCATCTGGAACTTAGAGATGTTTGTTCTTGCTCTTTCCTAACATTTTCAGGCATGTTTCTCTACAAAATCTTATGCACCTATCAGTCATTTAGTTTTAACTGGATCATCAAGAAGGGCGTGTTTCATTTCTCACTGGAAAACCTCTAGTGTTCAGATGATTGTTCCCATCCCACAGAGGTTATTACATGCACAACTAAGGATTGTTAGTCCTTTTTAATTTTAGCAACCCCTTCCTTTTAGAGATGGGAGGAAAAGCTACTCAAGGAACTGAAAAGGAAAAAAAAAACACCCTGTATTGTGGCTCTTTAAGTTCAATCCATTAGTGCCAAGTATGTTTACTATGGGCCATCCCTCCAGTCTTTATTTATATACAATAGAAATAGGAACTGCCACAATTAC